TACCTAGAGAGGCAGTTGATGGTGGGGACAGGCAGTACAGTGGGGGCAGTTGATAATGGGGACAGGCAGCACTGATGGAGGCAGTTGATGGTGGAGACAGGCAGTACAGGGGTAAAGTTGATATTGGGGATAGGCAGTACTGAAGCAGACAGGTGATGGTGCAGACAGGCAGTACAGTGGGGGCAGTTGATTATTGGGACAGGCATTACTTAGGGAGGCAGTTCATGGAGAAAGGCAGTACAGTGGGGAAGTTGATTTTGGGGCAAGCAGTACTGCGGGGGGCAGTTGATTATTGGGACAGGCAGTACTTAGGGAGGCAGTTGATGGTGGGGACATGCAGTACAGAGGGGGCAGTTAATAATGGAGAGCAGACTGTAGAGACAAAGGGGTACACACAGGTGCTATTGTCCCCCCTTCAAGTCTCGAGTTGTCCCATATCATTGCCCTCCCCATTGTGGTACCTGCACTGACCTCAGGACAGTCAGTAGTGGTTCCAGAGTCTCATGGCCAGTCACATTTCAGCTTCCCTCCCTCTCCACTCCCAGGCTGTGCTGTCCAATCAAACAATGGGGAGGAGAGGAAAGGAGGGAAAGAGATTTCCAGCATTTTAGCAACTATACCCATGCTAAGCTGACTCCCAAACCTTAAAGGGGCCACCAACAGGTGAAATAGGGATATGGAAATACATCCAGGGACACATCCAGGGGTGCTTTAGCTGGGACAGACATCTGAAAGCAGGAACTGTCCCCAGAAAATGAAGATATTTTCTTACTCTATAATATTGTAAAATACCCTCTTGTCTGGTGCAGGAAAATGTGTTAAAAGATTTAAAAATACACATACTTGAAAAAAGCCTAAACATTAATTTTCAAAAGGATAGGCTACATTGGCCTGCAGGCATTATATTGAATGCTTAATAATCGCTTGTCAATCAAGCGTACAAGCTCACACCGGTGTAACTATAGTAGTGTCTTTGCTTTTATTAAAGTGTTCTCTGTTTACTTACAACTGAAGTTTATTAGGGTCAGTAACTCAAACTGTCTAGGCAGAATTAAAAAACTACGCCACAAAGTTCAAGTTAATAAGCGACAAGATATTACTGAACGGAAGGAGACAAAAGTAATTAAAAACATAGATCAATCCTCCCTATTCCTTTCCTGGAACTGTCAAACAATTCAAAGGGCTTTCTATTGTGTTCCTCACAGTCAGCGATGGGCAGTTTCATGGAATCGCGGTAGGAAGCATGTACCTGCTGCCAAGGGAGCGTTCTCTTGTCAAGGTTACATTGCAGCACACAAGCACTGACCCCTAATAAAGACAAATGTAAATGATGTGGCTGGCTCAGCACATTAGACAGACTGACTCTAGAGAAAGTCTGAACACTCTGCACATTGTAATGCAAGTGGAATTTATGTTTAATAGAGCAGAGTTGTCACAAGCATGCACTATTGTCAAGGTCAGTCCAACCAACAATAGTGCCTCTGTGAAGTACTAATATATGGCAGGCGCAAAGAAAGCAATTACATTTGTTAGGCATTGAGCCAAGCATGCTAGTCACTGTCCTGCAGGGCGCAGCAAAAGAATAGCGGCTAAGCTGAACACAACAACCCGGGCAACAGACAAGAAATATAAGGCCCGAAAAATGTCATCCAGTATTTCACTGAAATGTTGGATTGCTGCTTTTATTTGGGTTTAATCCAGCAGGTGAGAAAAGTAAAAAGAAATCTCACTGAAAGTGGATTTACCATTCGAATAGATCAAGCTAATTTTTAGTTTTGCTTGGATAGGGAGTGGATAAAACCCCTTCTGTTTGCTGTCTGTGTCCTTTTGCGGAGATTAGTTGCTTCTTTTGTTCAAGAGACACAGCAGGAAGTGAGAAATTTTTTTTTCAAAGTAGAGTGGAAAAACCCGGTTTGACATTTGATGCTGAAACAAGTGTTCCTATTAGAAGTTTTCTCCGTTATTTCAGTTGGGGGCAGCTGAAACATTTTTTGGATAATAATCAGAGCAAACAATGTTTTTCCAGGCTGAACATATAGATTCTTGTACGAGTCTAGTAATGATTAATTCTTTTTAGGACCCTTTTACACTGGTGCGCTTTTTCCAGGGCCCCATTAAATCCTATGTAACTTCACACTGCAGGTCCTGCATTCTGCATCTTTGGTGCAGTTTTTCCAAAAAGGCATCTTCCAACACATTGAAAGAGTGCATTAATGTGAAAGGGCCCTAAAGCTGCACAAAAGCGCATACGTGTGAAAAGGCCTCTGAAGCCAAAATCACAAACAGAAAAATCAGCACAAAGGAGTTAACTTACAGTTAGTAGAATGTGTCCCTTGTGCTGATTCCTCTTCTGTTAAAGCTTTCCTGTCTCATCCCCCCTACACGTCTGCCACTGTAGTCTTCCTGTGTGGCAGGGGGTTCACACCATTAACAGGCAGGGGTAAGGGTGTTAGTCGGCAGATCAGAGGAAGGTTTTCACTAACAGAAGAGGAATCAGTACAAGGGACACATCCTATGGACTGTAAGTTATGTCCTCTGTGCTGTTTTTCTGTTTGATTTTGGCTGCACTTATGCTTTAGGCTTCATGCACACTAGAAAAGCTAAAAACTGCTTTAGAAACGGGGGAGAAAAAACGCTAATGTTTTAGCATTTTCTGCCAGTTTTTAGCAGTGTTTAGCCAAGTGTGTAAGCTCCATGTAGTAGTTTCAGTGTTAAGAAGCCAGCTGGCGTGTCTTTAACAATGGATGAGTCATTAGTTGTCAGCGGAGTTTCCCACTGACAGCTGAAGGTAAAAAAAATATTGCTGGGAATAAAAAAAATGTAACCCCCCCCATATTTATACCAGACCCTTATCTGAGCATGCAGCCCGGGAGGTCAGGAAAGGGGTTGGGGGGAGTGTGTGTGCCCCCCCTCCTGAGCCATACCAGGCCACATGCCCTCACCTGGGGGGGGGGTGCTTTGGGGCGGGTGGGAGTTTGCCCCTCCAAAGCATCTTGTCCCTATGTTGATCGGGACAAGGACCTCTGACCCACAACCTTGGTCGGTGGTTGGAGGGTCTGCAGGTGGAGGGGGATTACCGGAAACCACCACCCACCAATGTTAATGAGTATGAGGTACATAATATCCCTACTCCTTCAGTTTTTGACAAGTCCTTTATTAAAAAATCAACAAAAATGTCCCCCCCGGCAGAGATCAATTGTCAATCATGATGCCTGCCGCCACCGCCAACCCGAGAAAGAAAACCTTCCAGTCCTGATGAAGGCTTCCGTGTCTGACAGCTCCTAAACAACTAAGGGACACCACCGAGTGACCCCGCCCCTTTTCATTCAGGGCATGCTGGCTCGGTGATGTCACAAGGGTGCAGAGTCACTCGATGACATAACCAGGTGGCCCTACCCCTTAGTTATTTAAGAGCTGTCAGATGGTGGAGCTGCCAGGTGGTGGGATTGGGACCCAAGGTCTTCTTTTTTTTTTATTTATTTTTTTCAGGTTGGCGGTGGTGGCAGGTGTCATGATTGACGATGGATCTACATTGGGTACATTTTTTTTTATTTTTTAATAAAGGACTTGTCAAAAAAACTGCCTACGGTCTTTTTTTAAACAATTTTTTTTTTTGGTGAATGACTAGAGATACAATGTACCCCATAGTCATTCACATGGGGTGGACTGGGTTCTAGGGTTCTTGTTAAAGGGGCTTTCCAGATTCCGTTAAGCCTCTGCTGGCAGACCCTCACAACCACACCCCTTGTCCATGTTGAGGGCATGTGGCCTGGTATGGTTCAGGAGGGAGAGGGGGGGCTCTTTCTTATCCCCCCACCTTTCCTGGCATGCCAGGCTGCATGCTTAAATAAGGGTCTGGTATGGATTTTGGAGGAGACCCCATGCCTTTTTGAAAAATTAAAATTCATACCAGACCCAAAGGGATTCACAATTTTTTATTGCCGGCAAAATTTTTTTTTTTAACATTCAGTTGTCAGAAGAGAACCCCAATGACAGTTGATGACTCACCCATTGTTAAGGACACGGTGGGCGACTTCCCGGCCCATTCCTTAACAAGCAGCCATTCACTAGTTGTTCAGGAAGCCTGGCGGCCTCTGCTTCAAAAAAAAAAAAGTTTTCTGCCAAAATGCTGCTGCTCCAGAACACGCTGGCGGAGGGTTTTTTTTCTGCCCCTAAACTCTCCTGCCAGAAAAAACACTGCTAAAAGACTATGCATAAACACATAGGATAATATGCAGGGGAGTTTAGAGTCAGTTTATAAAAAAAAACCCTCTGACGCCCAAAGCAGCAGCTGTAATAATGCCCAGTGTGCATGAGGCCTTAGGATATAGGATATATGTATAATAATAATATATATATATATATATACACACAGAGAGAGAAGAAAGAGAGAGAGAGATATTATTGCATGGTACAGAATGTTACGTGTATTGGTAGACCTGCAGCTGGTGTATCAGCAGTATTGGGGAGGCCCTCCCTGACATGCACTGGATATTGAATGTGCATGATGATTGAGAGGAAGCTCAGGAAGCACATAGAGAAGCACATAGAGAACCTGAAGAAAGGAATGTGTGTAATTCTGTATAAAAAATCTGTAAAGTAGTGCTGCATATATGCATGTGTCCTTGGCTAACAAATTTCAAAGTGTACAGTATGTAAATCCTAATACACTTCTCTTATTTGCTCCCTTTTGGTTTGTTAAACATAACTATTTATATGTCTACTTAAAAAATACCCATTGATCCTGCCAGAAATCTAGTGCATATCTGTGTCCCGTGAACTCTGCAGTGTTATCGTTCTGCCCAGACTACCTCGGTGAACTGCAGGACCCCCCCCCTTCCCCTATGTTATGGAGGTGTCCTGTAGTCCAGGGCTTAAAATTTCAAGTCCTGAGCTACTAGCCAGGCCTTCAGAGGTACTCGCCACCAACAAACACACACAAACAGAGACACCTGTATACACACACAGACATGTACATACATACATACATACACACACACACATACACACACACACACACACAGAAACATGTACACACACGCACAGAGACACATGTACACACACATATAGACACATGTATACACACACAGGCACGTACAGACACACATACACACAGATACATGTACATACACAGAAATATACACACACAGACACATGTACACACAGACACATGTATGTACAAGCGCACACACATGCAGACACATGTACAGGTACATACATGTACACACACATGTACATGCATACACAAACAAACACACATGTACACACACACCACACCCCTATAAAAAGTTGCAATACTTCGTTGTTCACTCACAGAGCCAGGTACTGCACTCTAGGGGGAGGCAGAGAGCACAGCACGCACTCCTTCCTTTGCTTTCACTGCGCTCAGCTATTGAGCAGTCTGAAGGCTCCCAGTGCCAATGACAGATCTGGCTTGAGCTCCGAGCCTGCTCAGCAAGACAGCCCTGGGGGACACACTTGCCCCCACCATAATTTCCACTCGCCAGCTTTCAAGGCCTGCTGTAGTCCCATTACACTTCTTGTCTTATGGTGATAACATTCCTTCATTACAGATAGGAGTACAATGATTGAGCATTGTCACCCTAAGTCAGGAAGTATTTTACTTGAATTATCACTGGTTGAAAATATTGAAAAGAAAAAAACCTGAAAAAAGAAAAGTAATGCAACCACCACATCTAAGGACTGCTTAGCTGAAATATACTCAAGTTTTTTTGTAGTTTTGGATAGAGGAGTAAGGGTCTAAAACCACATGCAGCTTTTTTTGCCATCCGTGTCTCATTAGAGATATTTCCCTTCAATTCCTTTTCCATATTGTGTTGCGCTCCTATTAATAAGTATCTCTTCTATACCACTGGTCCCTTAATAGCACCCAAAATTAATAATGTATGATCAAATAGTCTAATTAACAAAAAAATATGTATAAAAAAATATGAAAAAGCACATGTGTATACAATTACTCAAAAAATCTTAATATAATAATCACTTATATGAAAAAATAACTAAATGTGAATACTAGTACACTCTTCAAAAGTACATGATGTTGTAACATAAACGTGATAACAAATCAATAATACACCATGATTAGTGAAAAAAAAGAAGAAAAAATATATAAAAAATATATGTGATAAAAAAATATATATATAATATCAAAAAAAAAAATATATATATGTGTACTACAAATTAATAAATGTGTAAAAAATATATATATATAATGTCCTTATAATACAGTGACTCTGTGCTTGATTTAATCTTGAATCGGTGACTTTTTGTGAATCCGTGACTGTATATGAATCCGTGACTCTTTGTGAATCCTCTAATTAGTGCAGATGTATGCTCACCTCCTTATCTGCCTGCAATTAGGCTATATGCGCTTGTGGTTCACCTCCTATGGAACCTGCTTAGATGAGATTTCTCCTTTATAGATTATGGAATGTGGATATCCTTTACCATTGATTAACCCTTCATTAATCACTCCTTACGAAAATTCCAATCCCCTTATGCTCTCCTCTCCATGCGTTTCTCCATATGTGGGGACAAATTACCAAACATAGTGTTTTATCCTTTTTAAAAATTTCTGCTTTATTGCTTCCAAATGGTTCACTCACATTTGCTGTTTTCAATATAAGGCAATTTGTATGTAACGAGTCCTCCGCCGACCGTTGAGTCATGCACCCGCCGTCTGTCAAACAATCCGGCTTTCTCCGAGTGATGTTGCAGCCCCACCCCTACACGTTACGCCACTGGTCACGTGGCTTCATCAGGGGGTTTTGATAGGTTAGTCACTCTTCCATTGCCGGCTTATATAACACGGCCGCGCCATTTTGTTGTATATCTGCAGGGAGCAGCCATGTTTTTGGGGGCACTTTCATTACTTTAATATCATTGCCAATTGATACATTTGTTACTCTTACTGCTTTGTCTAACTCGGAGAAATACATTGTGACATGACTCTGCGGCTTGCCAGGACTCCAAACGATCTATTTGACATATAATGATCACAACACTTGCTTATTAAAAAAAACAATTTTATACCTAAAAAATGCATGTCATCATATATAAAACATATATAGATGTTTGTGTATATCCACCTACATCCATATAAAAAATATTTTATTAAATATTAAAATGAGTAAATCAATGGAAATATACACCTAGGGAAATATATATATAGTAAATAAAATAAAATAAAATAAAATAAAATTAAATAAAAATAAAAAATGATCCATTCAAAAATTATATAATGAAAGAATTTAAAAAAATATTCATAATAATATAAAATCTCTTTTAAGGCATGTCTTATAATTAACATGCCAAAACCCTCTGATGAAGCCACGTGACCAGTGGCGTAACGCGTAGGGGGGGGCTGCAACGTCACTCGGAGAAAGCCGGACTGTTTGACAGACGGCGGGTGCATGACCTCAACGGTCGGCGGAGGACTCGTTACATACAAATTGCCTTATATTGAAAACAGCAAATGTGAGTGAACCATTTGGAAGCAATAAAGCAGAAATTTTTAAAAAGGATAAAACACTATGTTTGGTAATTTGTCCCCACATATGGAGAAACGCATGGAGAGGAGAGCATAAGGGGATTGGAATTTTCGTAAGGAGTGATTAATCCCGGAAGGGTTAATCAATGGTAAAGGATATCCACATTCCATAATCTATAAAGGAGAAATCTCATCTAAGCAGGTTCCATAGGAGGTGAACCACAAGCGCATATAGCCTAATTGCAGGCAGATAAGGAGGTGAGCATACATCTCACTGCACTTATTAGAGGATTCACAAAGAGTCACGGATTCATATACAGTCACGGATTCACAAAAAGTCACCGATTCAAGATTAAATCAAGCACAGAGTCACTGTATTATAAGGACATTATTATATATATTTTTTACACATTTATTAATTTGTAGTACACATATATATATATATATTTTTTTTGATATTATATATATATATTTTTTATCACATATATTTTTTATATATTTTTTTCTTCTTTTTTTCACTAATCATGGTGTATTATTGATTTGTTATCACGTTTATGTTACAACATCATGTACTTTTGAAGAGTGTACTAGTATTCACATTTAGTTATTTTTCATATAAGTGCTTATTATATTAAGATTTTTTGAGTAATTGTATACACATGTGCTTTTTCATATTTTTTATACATATTTTTTTGTTAATTAGACTATTTGATCATACATTATTAATTTTGGGTGCTATTAAGGGACCAGTGGTATAGAAGAGATACTTATTAATAGGAGCGCAACACAATATGGAAAATTAATTTTATGTACACAGTGGTAGTTGTGTGTTGGGTGTGTGTGCGATCCAGATATACTTGAGATATACTGTGTCCATATTGGCGTCTTGGGGGGGTAGTTATTTGGTGGATACAACTTGGCTCGCAAGTCATATAGATATCCCTTCAATTCCTGACACAACAGGAAATGAGAGAAAAATCCTCTTAGACAACTATCACCACAACAGTTGCCCCCTTCAGAGACTTCTGTTTCTGTTCCAGCAATTAACTTGCTTGTGTGATAAATCCCTAGGTCATCTGTTTGTGCTGGCATGCTGTTTACAAAGACTTCAGTTAATCAACTTCTCTCATATATTATACTACAATTGCTAGTTATGCCACTGGGTGGTACTGTTTAATTGATTCTTGACTTAAAGTGTTACTATACCCAGGACCCTGCATTCACTATATCTGGTCTCCCACAGTACACACAACATGGAAATGCAATTATTTTAGTAAATATAAACTGCCAAATACCTTTTCTCATAAGCAGTTAGAGCAGTCTTGTGACTTCTATCAGTGTCAAGCCCAGCACTTGTTAAAGCTTGTAGGAGGAGTTTTCATTCTGTTGTAGGAGGATGTAGGACCCCTAAACTCTGTCTGGACAGTGCTGGTTGGCTCTGTGCTGATCACATGCACTCTCCCAAGAAAAGGAAAAAAAAAAAACGCTCTAGCAATACACACCAAACTGAGCATGTACAGAGTGCGCCACACAATATGTCTTATCAGGAGATAAGAGGGGGGGCACTGGAAGAAGGGGAGGATCAGAGAAGACAGGATAAAACAGCATTTTTACATAATGCAGAGGTTTAACACCTTAGATTCCATAGTGAGTATAACAAGCATGCTTTACTGCATATACAGACAGATTTTACCGTTGTGGGTTTAGTAACACTTTTTAATGTAATGTTCTTCCCATTAGAATTATGTGGTTATGATGTAATTTCCTGTTCTGTGTTCTTGTTTTCCATTAAAGCAAGCCAGTTGTCCATCAATATCTTGAGTGTTAAGAGCCATATCTGCAGCAGCTTTCCAACAGTTTGTACTCCTTAAAAAAAAAAAAAAAAAAGGTCCAGCCAGAGAAAAAAACATTGTCATGTAAATGAACATATATCAGGCTCTGTGTTCACCTGAGCCTGGGTTCACATATATGTGGTGCGGTATATCGCATGTGATTCGCACAGGAACCGAACTGTAGACTTCACAAAAATGTGGATCAGAAAAGTAGCACTGTCTCTTTAAGGAGCACTGAAGTCCCCTTGATGGACCTCCTTAGACTCCAGATGAATCCTTCTTCCTTCACCCGGCTGCACTGAGGGTATCCCTGGGCAAGGGATTCCAAGATCTGCCAATTAGGTAGTCCCGGATGAGGACTAATTGGGTCTTGCATCTGACCACCCTCTCCCTTTATCTGACCCAGGGGGTGTGGAAGTACTCACACTGTCCTGCCCCGTCAGCTTGGTGGGTGATAGCTGTGTTCAAGCCTTATGCTGAGCTGGCTTCTTCCTGGCCAACAGGTTGTCCTCCCTAGGAGACTTGCACAGTGGAGATCCTCCTGTCCAGCAACCAGCCTATAGGTAGGCCCCCTCTCTAGGGCCCCCTTCCCAGGCTCCACTCTCCAGCTCCTTCCTTTAGTCCATCTTCCACCCGACTCCCCTGCTGCACAGGCTCTGTCATATTTAAGGATTGCCCTTGGCCTCCATGCCCGGCCTCCTGCCTGGAGATTGGCCAAGTTTCCCTAAACATGCAAATCTGGGCCTTCTCTCCTCTTCCAGAGGGGGGGAGGGGGCACCAGAAGCCCCCCTGACCTGTAGAGCCTCCCAGCCTGTCCTGAGGTGAACTCACTACCTCACGCCCAGGCTGACTCATCTCAGCTTCTAACAAGCCTCTGACTACAAAACAACAAATCCTATTTATCTAGAGGGCGCTACACTAACTTTTTTTTCTTCTAACAATGCATTAGGAAACACAAACCAGGTGCGGGTAAATTATCAAATGACTATACTATGCTATATTAGCTTTTGCTGCAGATACACTACTGTTTAGGCCTCCTTCACGCTGGGCTTTTACCTCCTGTGCTAGAGGCTCCTGTGTTTAGGTGTAGGTGGAAGACACCATTGCAACACCCAGCCCCACTGCTGGCAGACTGCTTGTGTTGTTATTGGTATTATTCTTATAATTATAATACTAGATTTATATAACGCCAACAGTTTACACAGCACT